GTGATTCAGTGGTAGGTGATTACGAAGCTTTCATATAGGAGGAAGAAGATGATGGTGGTTGAAAATGGTTGAGAGTTGGAGTTGTTGGTGGACTATTGGCCGTGTATGGTGGAGAAAAAAGAGAAAGAAAAAAATTATAAAATTTTAAAGATTAATTTTTTTTTAATAATATAGACCCACAAATCCATATGTCATGTAATAAAGATCAAACATGTGACATGGCATTCATGTCACAGCGATTGGCGATCACGCTAAACAGAAAGTGTTTATTAGTATTAATTCTGTCAAGTTAAAGTGTTCAATTGGAAAAAATATAAGTTCAGGAATCGACTATACAAATCGGTACAAGCTTAAGTGATCAGGAAGATATTACGTCTTAAAAATCTATATATGTATATAAAGCCAGGCACAAAAGAAGTGACGTGGCACCCTCCTTTGGCCAGCTTTACCATTTATCTTTTTTCTCAGTTATTTGAGATTTTTCTCACATTTTCGGCCAAAATATTCCACGAAAATAAATGTAACCTATTTATCACTCATTGTTATTGCTATCCCATTATTCCTTCCGTTATTACTGTGCCATTTCTTCTTCGTAAATTCTCCTCACATCTCTCTAATTTTACGTTTTGTTTTTTCATAACGGAATTGTAATTAGGAATTCGGGGCTGCATATTCGATGGTGAATTTGCTGACAAAAAGAAAGAAAAAAAGATGGAAAGCGTAGAAAAATGAGTTGGGATATTTATTTTCACCGTCATGCAAAGGGCAACAAATAAGTATACTAAATTAGAAACTAAATATTATTAGGCACCGTGATGATATCCAGTAATTCACATTATTATCTTTCGTCAATTCGGATCATTTGCATCTATACCCACTTTTTGAGTCACGTTTTAACTTGTGCTCGCTTTGCAAAAAAAAATTGCAAACGTACCCACTTTTTCGCGTAACTTCAGCATACGGGGCTGAAGTAGCAAAGGTAATCACGCAAAACTTCAGCATTGTAGTAGACGGGCCTGAACTAGCAAGTGTGCTGAAGTTTTTGTTTGTAATTGCTGAACTTAAGCACAGTAACTGAAGTTTTGTTCTCTATTTGCTGAAGTTTTTGTTTGTAATTGCACTAAATAAGATGAAGTTTTTTTGTGCTGGATTATTAGTTTTGTCATTGAGTTTTTTCAAAAAACTTCAGCAGAAGATGCTGAAGTTATTTAGTTCATTTATAAAAACTTCAGCACTAAATAAACTTAAGTTTTTTTTGTCCTGGATAAGCTTTTTCAAAAACTTCAGCTTTAGTTCATTTGTAAAAACTTAAGCACTAAAAGCTGAAGTTTTTTTTTGTCCCGGATTCATTAGTTTTGTCATAAAGCCTTTTCAAAAACTTTAGCAGAAGATGTTGAAGTTATTTAGTTCAATTGTAAAAAATTCAGCACTACATAAGCTGAAGTTTTTGAAAAAGCTTTCTAACATAGTAGATACATAATCAGATTGCCAACAATATCTAAATCATAAATTTGGAAATGAAAAGAACAGAATTATCATTGTCTACTAACTTACGTACGTGGAAATATTCACAAATTATTGTCTACTAACTTACGTAATTATTTATAATTTATTTTTAAATAATCTGATAAACATACTTATGACAATCATCCCATGAATTGAAGTTTCATAACAGCACCAACAACAGAAGAAGAAGAAGAAGAAGAAGAAGAAGAAGAAGAAAACGAAGGAGGAGAAGGGGGAGGAGAAAGGGGACTGAAGTTGTTTAAAAAGTGGGTACAAATTAAAACTTTTTAAAAAAATGGGTATAAGTTAAATGAAGACGACCAAATAAGACGCCCGTGCAATTTTTACAATTCTTTATCTTTTGTTTTTCAAATTCGGATATCCTTATTTAAATGGGTTATTCCTCTTTTGGTTTTCTAATTCAGATATGCTTATTCAAATGGGTTATTCCATTTAAACTGAATGTTTCACAAATCCTTTTAGCCAAAGAACTTGATATAAGATGTTTGGTTAGTGTTTTCTTTTGTTGAAAATATGATACTAATTACTTAGCTATAAACAATGTATCTCTATGTCTTTATTTATAGGCTGTTCTTTTTTTTTTTTTTTTTTTTGGCCAAAATTTTTTTTTTTTTTTTTGGCCAAAATCACTTTTGGACAAAAATTGAGGTGTTTGACCAAGCTTCTGGAAAGAAAAAAGTGCTTTTGAGGAGAAGTAGAAACAGTTTTGGAGAAGCAGAAAAAAGTAGCTTCTCTCCAAAATCACTTTTTTGAAAAACACTTTTGAGAAAAATACACTTAGAAGCAGTTTTTTAAAGCTTGACCAAACACTAATTACTGCTCAGAAGTGTTTTTTAAATTAATTAGCTAAACACAAACTGCTTCTCATCAAAAGTACTTTTGAGAAAAGCACTTTTCAAAATAAGCTAATTTTTGCAGCTTGGCCAATCGAACTATAAGTCTTGCCTGGTTGATTAAATGGAATCTTGGGAGGAAAAATGGATAGGAAGAAACAGAAAAGGGGAAAAAGATAATAAAAGTTCAGCCTACCAATATAAATATTTAACCTGAAATAGTTTTGCACATATTCTTTACGTCATAGAATTTTATATAAAATGTTAAAAAAATCATAATAAAATCTTGAAAAAATGCTTGATATTAGTACATACTAATCTTCTTTATATAAATTATATATTAATATTTAATTATATTTTTAAGACTGCGCGAAGCACGGTAAGCACACTAGTAATCAAGTAAAATTCAAACTCATAATACTACTTGATGAAAGTGTGACTTCTTGACTACTAATACTAAAAAGTGACAAACTAAGTAATTAAATGGAGTTCTTGGAGTTGTGAGTTCGAGTCTCCCCAAGAGTAAGGTGGGAAGTTCTTGGAGGGAAGAATACCGGGGGTCTATTTGGAAACAGCCTCTCTACTTCAGGGTAGGGGTAAGGTCTGCGTACACACTACCCTCCCCAGACCCCACTAAGTGGGATTATACTGAGTTGTTGTTGTTGTATTACATTATTCGCAACTTTTTTTTTGGTTACCAAAGCCTCCGAGGTACTATGACTCATTCACATGGTACAAGTAGGAGCAGCATAGCATTTCCAGATCCCTTGCCAGCGTGGCGCCGGGGCAGTTGATCCTAGGGTTTTATCAGGGTTTGATACAAGTTCCCATTTTCGATCAACAAACCGCTCTGTAATGGCCACCTCTATCATTCTCATAATTCACAATTCCCCCCAAAATTGACGTCAAACATGGAGAACAAAACCGCCCCTTTATCAACTATCGAAGAACCAGAACCCAAAAAGCAAAAAATGTCCACCACCACCTCCGACGACGAAGAAGCTGCAACCACTGCCGTCGCCGGAGATGGTCCAGCACCTGAGAGGAAACCGAGATACAAGCGTCGAAAAATCGCAATATTCTTCGCGTACTGCGGCGTAGGTTATCAGGGTATGCAGAAGAATCCTGGAGCTAAAACAATCGAAGGCGATTTAGAAGAAGCACTATATCAAGCAGGTGGTGTGCCTGAGCATGACAAGTGTCAACCCCGAAGGTATGATTGGGCTCGTTCTGCTCGTACTGATAAGGGTGTAAGCGCCGTGGGTCAGGTCGTCTCGGGTCGGTTTTACGTCGACCCGCCTGGTTTTATTGATCGGCTTAACTCGATCCTCTCTCCTCAAATCCGGATCTTTGGGTTTAAACGGGTAACAAATGCGTTTAATGCTAAGAAGTTCTGTGACCGGCGTAGGTATGTGTATTTTGTTCCTGTTTTTGCTCTTGACCCATCCTCACATCGTGATAGAGAGACTGTATTAGCTAGTGTAGGATCTGGGAAAGAGCTTGTTAAGTGTTTGGAGTGTTCGGAAAGGGGTCGTAAAGTATTTGGAGTAATGGGTAAACGCGTTNGCGCGTTTACGATCCGATAACTAAGTCAGTAATTGTTGTTGCTGAACCAGGCAATATGCCGAACAATGGAGATGCACAAGTAACTTTGCAAAATATAGAGAGTAATGTGAATGTTAATGCAAATGATGTGATCACTGAGTCAAATATGGTAATTGAAAATGGAGCTTCTTTAAGTGAGAAGGGTGAAGAAACGAAGGAGGAAGTTGAGAAAGGCGACGAAAATGCTAAAGCAATAGAAGAACAAGTAGAAGAGAGTGTGTTTTCCTATGGAGAGAAAGAAAAAGAAAGATTTAACAGAATTTTGAAGTACTACGAGGGAACTCACAATTTTCACAATTTCACAACGAGAACAAAAGCTGATGATCCTGCTGCCAAGCGATATATCATTTCATTTACTGCAAACACTATAGTGAACGTCGAAGGCATTGAATTTGTGAAGTGCGAGGTTGTGGGTCAGAGCTTTATGCTTCATCAAATCCGTAAAATGATTGGTCTTGCTGTTGCGATCATGAGAAACTGTGCTCCTGAATCCTTAATTCAAACTGCCTTCCGAAGGTACATGTTACTCTTAGTTAGTTATTCTCTTTTAAGTTGTGAATAGGTAAGCATGTTTTAATCTGGTACCATTTTGGATCAAATCAGGGATGTCAACATCAATGTTCCTATGGCGCCTGAGGTTGGATTGTATTTGGATGAATGCTTTTTCACCTCATATAACAGTAAGTGGAAGGACACTCATGAAGAAGTGTCTCTGAAAGCTTATACAGAGGCGGCAGAAGAATTTAAAATGAAGTATATCTATAGTCATATTGCATCGACGGAACACAAGGATGGAACAATGGCTCTATGGCTGCATTCCCTTAACTATCGTAATTACCCTGATTTGCGTGGTGTGGATAATGATAATTCTGCTGGTGCTAGTGATGGTTCAAAAGCCATTGAAGCTGTTGTTGAGGCTGGTATAGGTGCTGTCAAGAATGGTGAGAGCACCGATAATGTTAATTCTGCTGGTGCTGTTGATGATTCAAAAGCTGGTGAAGCTGTTGTTGAGGCTGGTTTAGGTGCTGTCAACGATGGTGAGAGCACCGATAATGTTAATATTGCTGGTGCTGGTGATGGTTCAGAAGTTGAAACTGTTATTGAGGTTGGTTTAAGTGCTGTCGACAATGGTGAGAGTGCCGATGCCAAAGATGCTGACGCAGGGGGTGATGCTGATTTAGTCACCTCATAGGCTATGCTCTGTCGAACAACTCTCGGTATCTATTGGCATGAATATCATGTAAACTTTTCCCTCTGTATTTCTATAATTTATGGTGTTCTATTCTTTGAAGGGAACTCCATATAGCAAAGACAGAGAAAGCTCTTGATCCTATTTATATGACATGTCAAATTTAGTCTTGAAACTTTGTTAATTTTGTTGAAGCGCTTCAAATGATGTTGAAGTGAAGCAGATGGTTTAACTGTTGTTGAAGTGAACAAACTGTAATTTGATAAATTACATGTTTTATTTAATTCTTACCAATCTAATAGTTTATAGTTAGTTCTTCTCTGTGCTAGTGTTATGGAGGCTTTGACCTACTCTCTATGCTGTATCAGCTAAGCATTTAAAGCTAAATTTTTACTGGTTATGGAAATATATTGAAGCCGCAAAGGTGGTGATTCCTAACAAGCCAATTTGCTAAGGCATCACTAGTAACACAACAACCGCCCAGTATAATCCCACAAGTGGGGTCTGGGGAGGGTAGTGTGTACGCAAACCTTACCCATACCTTAGGGGTAGAGAGGCTGTTTCCGATAAGGCATTACTAGTGATAGGAGTAAAGATTCTTTGGCTGCCAACTCGAAGTGACTCTGAATGCAAACTCTAGTATGTCGCACAACAAAAGTTAAGATTTGTGGTTGATGAGATTCAGTTGATTTGGTCTTGGCAAAATGCAGCTCTTAAATTTTTTCCATAGTTAAGCATATTTTTTTCACCAATTAGCTTATTTCACTTATAAATGATTAAAGTGTGATGCAATTTTCTTTGTAATGGATAAAACAAAGTCTTCTCTTTGACATTCTATGCGCACCAAAGGCAAATGGTTTGCTTATATCATTTCTCTTCCTTTTTTTTCTCTTCCCTTTTTTGTCCTTATCAAATAGGAGTAGTACTGCCTCCGGTCCAAAATAAGTGATTTTTTTGGATGTTTTCACACAGATTAAGAAATTTACCTTTTAGCATTAATTAGCAATGAAATTGACCATATTAACTTTTACTATCTCACATAAATACTCCTAACACATATTCCAACACTATTTACTCCAAGGACAATATAGGAAAAAATAATTAATTCATTCTTGAAATCTGAAAAAATCATTTATTTTGGACCATAAGAAAAACTTTTTTGGACCGGAGGAATAGTATTTAGATAATAATTCTCTGATTAAGTTGACATGGATTGCCGGCATTTTCGGGATTAGAATTAATAAGTCTTAAATCAGAATTGAGCTTACTTTCAAATATCTTTTTTCCTTTTTTTTTTTTTCCCGGCATTTACTATCAAGTCTATAAGTGGGAAATTTGTATGGTCGCGGGAAAGAGCAGCTAAAATATCCTGGAGGCCATTCTCTGAGCCATGTCGGTTGACCATGACTGGTCGGAACTTCCACCGGAGCTTCTCGATACGATTGTGAATAAGCTAATTAACCTCCGCGATTACCTCAGTTTCCGAGCCGTTTGCTCCAACTGGCGATCCTCAACGCCGGCGACTCCCAAAAACTTACCTTGTCAATTCCCATGGTTAATGCTCCCAAAAAACCGGTCGAACCGGCGCGGTTTTTTCAACCTCCTTGATAACAAGCTCCACTTCCTCAACCTGCCCGAGGCTTCGAATCGCCGCCGACGTTGTGGCTCTTCTCATGGCTGGCTCATCATCGTCGACGAATCGCCGTCAATTTTCATAATTAATCCGCTTACGAAAGTAACTTTTAATCTTCCGCCGCTGTGTCAGCTTCCTAATGTGGTAAATTTCGATTTTTACAGCGTAGGTCGAGAATTTACCATCCAATCTCCCGACGGCGAGGTTTACACTCGTAATTTAAAAGAAATACGTGACTTGTTTATTAAAAAAGTTGTCCTTTCGCATAGTCCTTCACGTGATCCGAATTTTATTGCGGTAATGATCCTTAATGAAACAGGCGAGCTTGCTTACTGCAAAAATGGAGAAAATTCGTGGAAATTTATTGATGAAGCGCGGTTTTTTGCTGAGGATGTTATATATTTTGATGGATTATTTTATGCTGTTCATAAACTTGGATCGATTGCAGTTTGTGATGTTAGTGGTGATTTGCCTAAGGTTTCGTTTATTGAAACGCCTAGGCAAATTGGCGGTGATATACAGTATTTGGTTAAAACGGATGATGAACTTTTACTGGTAACTAGGTCTTTGGAGCTTGATACTGATGCTGCGTATCATCAGCTTGATGTTGTGTATAAGACGGTTGAATTTCGTGTGTTTAGGTTGGTTTTAGAAGGGCCGAGGTGGGAGAAGGTGGATAGTTTGGGTGAGAAGATGTTGTTTTTAGGAGAGAATTCTTCATTGGCGCTGTTGGCTTCTGATTATCCTGGATGTGAAGGAAATAGGATTTACTTTACGGATGATTATTGTGAGGCTAATTATGATGGTGTCAATGGGAATCATGATCTAGGGTATTACAATTTAGAGGACGGTAGGATTGAAGCATTATCATGCTATCCTCGCAATTCACATTCTATGCTTCGTTGGCCTCCTCCAATTTGGTTCACTCCGAATCCATGTTGATAATGTAAGTCTGCCTCTCTTTTACATTTTCTTGTGTACAAATTAGCTTAGATCTTTGGTTTCATGTAATATAAGTGTTGATAGGATTGTACTGTCCAACTTGAATTTCACCAAAAGCTAGTCTGATGCTATTGTAAGATATTTATAGTTATAGATGAAGCACAACTCAACCATTACAGTGGAAGTAGAGATTGTTCACTGCCGACTCTCTAAAACTTAGTTTGAGGTAATTATACCTGCAATACAACGGAAGTGCGATCCTATAGTGCCAATATAGGATTGTAGTCAGGAGAGATTTTAGGGTCTTGACATTGGGGAGCATTAATTATTTTCCTATGAAACCCCCCATTCTGACTATTTTGGGGCAATGAAATTGCTTCCTCTCGCCTAGATTATAAGCTTGTGTTGATGTTGTAAATATGCAACATATAAGGACTCTTCTGTTAAGATGAAGTAATGCCAAATGTAGTAGTCCTGTATTTACTCATCTATCTGAATGAAGTTAATTTCCACATGAAATGGACGGAGATTTGAGTTTCTCCACCATCTCCTGATGCTTCCTATGATAGATTCTTTTTGAATAGGCAATTCAAGTGCTTTCCAAAAATTTCTTCCACCAATTACTGGGTTAACTTAATGGGAAATTATGGTTTTTAGCTCTGCCATGACCATGTAATTTTGAGATTTGCATAAATGTATATGATTATTGTTTATTGCTAGTGAGAAAGGTTCTTTATGCATCTGTTCATCTGTCCCTATTTTGATTTCTCCTTGCAGTGTATACTACCTCTTGATTCATGCTATTATCTTGTTGCAGTGTATTTGGTAAATCCCCAGTAAGGGTTTGTGAATATGTCTCTGGCCAGAGTTCACTTTGATGGAATTACTTTGTATATGAGTTGCAAATAATCAAATTGTGGTGTGCTGTAAGTAAACCTGTACCTATATTATCTTGATGCAATCTGTGTGACCGCAACATTCCTCGTAATCAAATATCTCTGTACTGTAAATAAATCTGTACCAACATATTTATGCCAGCAGCTTTCCCATGTAATTGCCATCTTTCTGCATCTGTTATGTCTCTATGAATACCTTCACTTTTATTCTGAACAACTAATTAGCTGGACTGAAATATTTTGCACTTTTGGAATTATGGATCTGAATTAATATTTGTCGAAATTTTAGTAATTTTTACATAAATAAATATACTTTGTGTTGAGAATACTCTGTTGGTTGAACTCGTCACAAACATGCTACATCCGTCTCTAACTATCTCACCCTCCAATTCTATCCCTCATGTCTCATGGCATCCAAGCGAATGATGCCTTTTAGTGGGAGCTCTCTAACCTAACTTGCTAAGTCTCCAATGTTCAGTTTATGCGTAATCACTTCTGTCAAGTTCATATTTACAGAAATTTTTGTCAGACGTGCTGCTATTTGAAGAAAACACGGTACAACATATATGGGCAGCACAAGAGTCGCTAGAGGGAAAAATCGTCCGACTTTATTTGAAAACAACAACAACAACAACAACAACAACAACAACGATCCAGTATAATCCCACAAGTGGGGTCTGGGGAGGATAATATGTACGCAGACCTTACCACTACCCCGAAGGGTAGAGAGGCTGTTTCCAGGAGACCCTCGGCTCAAAAAAGCAACAGGAGCCGATATATTAGTACCATAAAAATGCATAATAAAATAACAGCAATATAAGAGATATGAAATACAGAATACGAAATACGAAATAGATGGCTGGTATAGTAAAACTAGCAGGTAAAGCCCTGCATCAATAGACGACCAATGACATTCTTAGTCTAACTCCTAACTGGCTAGTCTCACTCTATTGTGCTGTAGAAATATTCACAACTTTCCCTAACCTACAACCTTAATGCTCGACCTCCATAATTCCCTGTCAAGGGCCATGTCCTCAGTAATCCTAAGTCGCGCCATGTCCTGTCTGATCACCTCTCCCCAATACTTCTTAGGTCGTCCTCTACCTCTCCGCGTGCCCACTACAGCCAGTCGCTCACACCTCCTCACCGGTGCATCAGTGCTCCTCCTCTGAATGTGCCCGAACCATCTGAGTCTTACTTCCCGCATCTTGTCCTCCATGGGGGCCACGCCCACCTTCTCTCGAATATCTTCATTCCTAATCTTATCCATCCTTGTATGCCCGCACATCCACCTCAACATCCTCATCTCTGCTACTTTCATCTTCTGGATGTGTGAGTTCTTTACCGGCCAACATTCAGTTCCATATAACATGGCAGGCCATATAACATGGCAGGCCTAACCACTGCTCTATAAAACTTACCTTTTAGTAACGGTGGCACTTTCTTGTCACACAAGACTCCCGCTGAGTTGGTGGCACTTTATTGCTGTTCCTAGAGAAGAAATGAGGAAACAAAACTTCGTCCGTTTGGTAAGTGATGCGAAGAGTTGCTGAGTTGGTTGCGGATTGGAATATTAAATCTCTTGCTGTTATTAGCGATGAGAAAAATCTAATGCTGCTCATTTGGTCTTTAGTTTTACAGTCTAAACAAAACTAAAATTTGTAATGCCACAGATAATCACTAAGCAGCATTTTGAAATTAAATTTGGAACGCCACAGATACCAACTAAGCATTTTGCAGACATTCTATAAGTAATAACACTTGAAGATAAAACAAAGTGACCTAAGAGGCCGGCACACATATCAGTTCAGCCCATCTAAGACCACCTAAAACAGTTTTTCCCCTCTTTCTTTTTTACTAAGCAATACACCTCATTGAGTACATTGAAACTGCAGGTTCAGCAGTAGAATCAATATAAACCCTTGGATGATCTCCCTCCATTCCATAATCCGTCATCGGACGGTAGTCATCCAGCTCTTCTTCAAATTCATACACAAACTCTGGCATTTCTATCTCCTTTCTCTTTACGTGTTCCCACAGGAACTCTAACCTAGTTACATAATTCAGCTTCCAATAAATCCTGCAATCAAATTCCACCATAGAGTAAATTACATCCTGTACTATAATCTTTTAAAATACCAAAAAAAAGTACTTATTTGAAAGTTAAGTGTCGTAGGAAAAGTTAATTACCCTCCTGTGAAGATGAGACGGCCAAAAATGGCAAGAAAGAGTCGAGACTGTAGGCTTGGGTGAAGGAAATAAACAGCTTTCAGATGATCTTTCACGTTTTCCGGCATAGCATCACAGATTGATCGGAGAGCTGCTATTCCTGGGAAATTTTCACTTCTGTTAACTCCTGTATGTACGTACACTATTGAGAATTGTCTCTGCTCTAAACTTGGATAAATCTTCTCTTGTACATACTTGTTTACTGCCTCCACACTTACAATCCTTGCTGAAAATCATTGAATCAACCAGTAAAACAAAATATCATAATTAGGATACAGAAACAGGGAGAAGAAAAAAGTTGAACAACAAAAAAGTCCTAAACCTTAAAGGACAAGTCGATGCATGAAGCATCCGCATTCACGCAAGATCCGGAAAAGGGCCGCAGCCAAGGGGTGTGATGTATACAGCCTACCCTAATGCAAGGGTCAGTAGTTGGTTGATTCTACTGTTTGAACTTGTGACCTATAGGTTATATGGGAGATAATTTACCGTAACTCCAAGGCTCCCTCTCAAAAGAGGGAAACTTTGACACTGTAAAATTAATGTGTTGGCTTAGGCTTTAATTAAAAGGAGCCTTGTGACTTTTAAAATTAATATCTAGGCGCGGAGTTAGGGTTTTTCACTAAAAGGACTCAAAACAACACTTGAGAGCTCTTGAGTTGGGTCAAGGAGATTCAATATCTATTATATATTTTTAAAATATAATTTTGCTTTGTATATACAACATAACTTTTTGACGAAAAAGAGTTAGATGAACCACTTATTCTTACGCCGCTATCTCCGCCCCAGTCTAGTCTAGACTAACAAGAAAAAAGATTAAAAAAACTGTAGCAATCTGTTCAAATATACTGATTTCTACTCTTCCTCTTATATAACTAAGACAAGAAACTTAGTGAGAGATTGTTTCCGAAAGACCCTCAACTCGATCTTATATAACTAACGGAAGTAGAATTAAACTTGAAGAAAGAAAGAACTAACCAGGGAAAAGCTTGCCGATGATGCGAAGGATGGTGCAGCCACGTTTATCTTTACCTTGAATCTTGAAGATTTGGAGTTTGTCTATGAGTTTTTCTTGTTCTGGTTGGGAGATTGTCATCATCAAAGAAGATGGAGAATTCATGGTGTTCTTTTGCAGACCAGAGCTAAAGAGAGTTGATAATAAACTGTTTTTGTACTACGAGTGCCTTTTTAAAAAGAGAGTATGGGGCCTATGTAACATAATTGTGGTTTAAAGAAAAGACTTTGGGTAGTTGAAAATAGATTTCATTCGGGTTTGGGTCTTTTCTTACAAGTTTATACTGGAATAGGTAGAATTGGTAAATGTTTCGATTGAATCAAATAACGAGTCACAACTTTAAACAACAACAACAACAACCCAGTATAATTCCACAAGTGGGGTCTGGGGAGGGTAATATGTACGCAGACCTTACCTACCCCGAAGGGTAGAGAGGCTGTTTCCAGAAGACCCTCTGCTCAAAAAGCAACAGAAGCCGCTATATTAGTACCATATAAATGCATAATAAAATAACAGCAATACAATAGATATGAAATACAGAATACAGAATACAAAATACGAAAAAGATGGCTGATATAGTAAAACTAGCAGGTAAAACCCTGCATCAATAGACAACCAATGACATTCTTAGTCTAACTCCTAACTGGCGAGTCACAACTTTAATCAGTCTAACATAATTCAATCTCCCTTCTCCTTTTTTTTTTTAAATGTGGGATTATACTGGATGGTTGTTGTAATATATTTTTTTAAAGAAGTTATTAGGTTAAACTTTTTCAAATTTAAATAATTCACAATTTTCAAATCTGATTTTGTGCATTTGAGTTCAGATTGCATTTTGACAGTTAAGTTATACCGTGTGATTCTTTCTAACCCCATTACCCCATAAATTTGACGAGTCATTTTGAATTTCAATTCGTTGAATCAAGTAAATAAATAAGTTATAATTCAAATCATTTGAAAATAAACAAGCCAGTTACTATGCTATCTCATAAAATTAATCGAGATAATACACGCTGGACGCAACAGTTATCAAAAGAGGTGAATTACTAAGAATTGAGTTGATTTTTGGGCAAAATATAAAATTGACTTGTCAGCAAAACTAATAGTCAAAAAAATATATAAAATATACTCCCTCCGTTTTAATTAATGTGAACATATTTGACTGGGCACGGAGTTTAAGAAAAAAATGAAGACTTTTGGAATTTGTGGTCCTAAACAAGTTCATTAAGGGTAAAGTTGTAACTTTAAGCTAAATTGTTACCAAATTTAGAAAGAGTTCATTCTTTTTGGAACGAACCAAAAAAGAAATAGGTTCACATAAATTGAAACAGTTAAAAATTAGAACAGGGAGTATATATTATCGACTACTCCTATTATTTTTTGAAACAGTTAAAAATATACATTTTTCTTGATTTTGTCACAATTAGAAACGGGCAGGGAACGAGGGGGTGGTTGGTCTAATAATATGAGTGCATGGGGCCTTATCTGTTTTGTGCTAGAGCCAAACAGATTGATGAGAGACTGAAGGTATATTCTAAGGCATCTTCCTTTTTCTGGGACTGAGGGAAGGGCAATATAGATGAGTCTCCCTTAAATGGCTCACTATAATTGCCACGTTTCTCTCTGGATTTTGGATGATCTAAGAATAGATTAGTTGGATTTTTCCTATAATATTATGAATAGTATAATGATAGGAGCTGAAAAGATCCTGTGTTTCTGAATTCTGTCTCTTTGCCCATTCCTCTATAGCTTTGTAAATTTTAAGCATTGAATTTAAGTCGTAGACCGAAATAATCAGGTGTCATACGGAAACTAGTAAAGCAAATCTTGAGCGACGATAAATTATACAACAAAGGAGAAATATATCAAAAGAGACATAAATATTTAACGTGGTTCGGTCAACTGACCTACGTTCACCGCGGAGATGAGCAATCCACTATATAAAAAGAGAGTACAAAATATCGAGAGAACAACCTCACGAAAAGACAAACACAAGTGACACACTAACACTTGTCCTGTAAAGTTCTCCCCCTAAATACGACTCTCAACCCCCATGTGGCTACATTGTGGTTGCTGGAGAAGGAATGATCCTCAATTTATAGAAGTCCAAACCTTTTCCTACAAGAAAAAATACTAGTCAAGTATAGGAGAATTATATTTCCTTCTACAAAAAGGAAAACCCAATTAAGGTAATTATATTGTCATTTCTTTCAACAAATAGAATCAAATATGATAAGAAAATTATGGCAAAAACCTTACAAGTTTTTCTACAAATTTTAGCAAGTGGTTATGTATAATACTTGTTAGTTATCGGGCTGTGTTAGGTGTGTACCAAATTAAGCATGAGATACAAAAATAATATAAATAAATAAATAAATAAATAAATGGTTAAGTAACAAAAAGATCATATACGTGACATATATCATACATTCAGTGATTTTGCCACAAAGACCAATAGACTCACAAGTCGAATTATGATAATAGGCCGTCATGGGTAATTTTTTTCAAGAAGTAACCTTAGTAGCCGCTCTTTTCAATCGCTTAAGTGAAAACTAGCCATAAGGCGTATAATATATGTACAATTCATATATAAGATGTGTATAAATAGATATAGTCAGCGTATAATCAATGTATATCGATTAGAAAAAGAATAAATAGGAAATCCAACGGCTATTTGCGTAAACATCTCATAAAAGGGCCATATTCATCCGATATCTGGCACTTACTAGCCCAACTAATTCAAATTTCGGCTACGTAACGTTTATTAATAGGAAAACACTTACTATTAGAAATTTCTCTATTACTAAAGTTCCTACCCGATATCTCTGATTAAGGATAGAGAGATTATATTTATCCCATCGACAGTGATATTACCGGTTCTGCTAAAGGGAAAAGGGGGATTTGTATCTATGCCCGCTTTTTGGATCACGTTTTAACTTACACCCGCTTTGCAAAAAAAATTGCAAGCGTACCCACTTTTCGCGTAAACTTCAGGCATACGGGCCTGAAGTAGCAATGACAATCACGCAAACTTCAACATTCTAGTAGACGGGCCTGAAGTTGTTTGTAATTTCTGAACTTTAGCATGTTTTAGGTGAAGTTTTTGCCTGAAGTAGCAAAAATTACTGAACCAAGTGTTGGCTGAAGTTTTTGTTTGTAATTGCTGAACTTAAACATTCTACAAATTGAAGTTTTGTTCTCTATTTGCTGAATTTCAGCATGTTGGCTGAAGTTTTTGTTTGTAATTACTGAACTTAAGCATTCTACTAGCTGGAGTTTTGTTATCTATTTGCTGAACTTCAGCATGTTTTAGCTGAAGTTTATTCTATATTTGCTTAACTTCAACATGTTTAACTCTTATCTAAACCTAAAGATCTCCCCAAATTTTCAGCGCTTGCAGATTGTTTGTCATGACCCAGGTTTCCCACCCTCGGGGGTCGTGATAGCGCATACTCGTAGAAGCTAGGCAAGCCGCGAAACATGGAAATTACTAACTCTTTCATTTTTAATCTTTTTTAACATTCTGTATTAATAGGTAATCAACATTTAGATATTAACGATAAATGAAATCAAGCGAAAGACTTAATCTAATATAATAACCAAAACCACTACGACAATGACAACACACGTCTCTACCCGGGACCCGGTGTCACAATATCATGGACGGACTAAGATTACAACAACAAATGTCTGAAAGAAATACAATCTGTCTCGAAATCAAATGAAAATAGAGTACGTAATAAAGTAGAAGAGAACGTTGGGCCTGCGGACGCCTGCAGGACTACCTCGGGATCTCTGGCTGGACTAAAGGCAGGCTCCCCAAGTGCTACTGACCAAATGCTGCTCCGGAATCTGCACATAGTGCAGAGTGTAGCATCAGCACAACCGACCCCATGTGCTGGTAAGTGTCTAGCCAAACCTTGGCGAAGTAGTGACGAGGCTAGGACCAGACTACCAAATAAACCCGTGCAGTTCAAATATATACAGCGGGAAAGAAATACAGAAATAAACAAGTAAAGACGGGAGGGGGAAACATGCCTTGGAGGAGTAATAGGTAAAAACAGAATATTAAGAGAATTATAAAGGAATCAAAATCCATACACTAACAAGAATAAAGAAAACAAAGCAGATTTCACTTTCTTTTCACATCTTGTGCGGGCGTGCAACCCGATTCCATTTCCTGTATCTCGTGGCAGCGTGCCACTCGCTCCCATTTCACTTGTCTTGTGGTAGGCGTACCACCCACTCCTATTTCATTATATCTTGTGGTAGGCGTACCACCCGCTCCCATTTTATTATATCTTGTGGTTGGCGTACCACCCACTCCCATTTCATTATATCTTGTGGTAGGCGTACCACCCGCTCCCATTTACCAACCAACAACAATCACAAGGAGTCCCGGCAGGGGAACAAGATCAACATAATAACTTCTCGGCAAGGGAACAATAATATTTCAACAACATCTTGGCAAGGGAACAATGATATCTCAACAATATCCCGACAAGGGAGCAATAATATCAAACAAACATCCCGACAAAGGAACAAACAACACCGGCGCACCCCAAGACGAAACATTGGGTCTAACGAAACCCTTCTCAAGCAAGTTTTGCAACTATTCCTTCTACTCTTTCAACTCAGACGGGGCCATACGATATGGCAGAATAGAAATGGACTGAGTGCCCGGAGCCAAATCAATGCAAAAATAAATATCCCTGTCGGGTGGCATACCCGACAGGTCTGAAGGGAAAACCTCAGGAAACTCACGAACAACGGACACAAAATCGATAGAAGTAACTCAACACTAGAATCACGAACATATGTCAAATAGGCCAAACACCCCTTCTTGACCATACGCCGAGCCTTCACATAAGAGATAACACTATGGGTAGAATGACTAGGAGTCCCTCTCCACTCTAAATGAGGTAAACCCGGTAAGGCTAAGGTCACAGTCTTGGCATGAAAATCCAAGATAGCGTGGTAAGGTGATAACCAGTCCATCCCTAATATGACATCAAAATTGACCATGTCTAGAAGCAAAAAACCTACACGAGTCTCAAGACCCCCAATCACGACTATACAAGAGCGATGGACTCGATATACCACAATAGAATCACCCACCAGTGTAGACACATAAACATGATCACTCAAAGAATCACTAGGCATAACCA